ACTTGTGCACAATTTAGGAAAGATAAGTCAGAGGTGAGTCAAGTGTGGCTGTTATTTTGGGGGCATTGGAGTCTGAATATGAAGCAGAAATACTTCAGGAACCTCACCTGGAGCGGTTGCACCTTTGTTATATTGGCCTTGGTGGGAGTAGGCTCCAGATTCACCAGGTTACTGTTAGGGCTTAAAGGAGTTGAATATATGTCAACAGACTGCATCAAATTTCTTTGTAAGTTTAGAAGTTATACGGCTGTGATTGAGCGTGAAATGTTCTAAATAACAAAAGGGCTTTAATGGGGTTAATAGAGAATCTGTTGTCTGTGGCTGGGGGTCATCAGTTTAGGATGATAGTGAGCTCATTTAAAAGGAGATGAGCAACATATTTCCCCAGCTGAAATATTCTTTTCCAAGACACACTGGGTGCTGGCTTAATTAAAACTTTCAGAGCCAAGTTTGATGGATGTTTGTTTTGTAATAATGAGGAATAGGACTGGTGAGTCACTAATATTTACTGTTAGTCAAACCCCCTTTGTGTGTTTCATATGATGTACTTCAGATAAACAGGATAAATATAAATATGGAACAAGCTTAATTCATAGACAGGAGAGGCAATTGCTTCATTTAAACATGCACGATGGCTTTTAATTTCTCTGTTTTGTATGTTCTGAATATCTGTCTCAAACCGTGCTTTTCTACGCCATAGTTTACCTATAACACTGCCACATGTAAGGCTTCATGTTATATCTGTTCATGACTTCTACTATTTTGATTTGATTTAATTATTGTCATGTACTGAGGTACAGTGAAAAGTATTGTTTTGCGTGCTAACCAGACAAATTGTAAATACATTAGGGAAATAGAACAGAATGCAGAATATAGTGTTACAGCTGCAGAGAAAGATCAACTCTAATATACGAGAGATATAGTCATAAGTCTGACAACAGCAGGGAAGAAGCTGTTCTTGAATCTGTTGGTTTCAAACTCCTGTATGTTCTGCCTGATGGAAGGGGGTGGAAGAGAGTATAACTGGAATGGGAGGGGTCTTTGATTATGTTGGCTGCTTTCTCGTGGCAGCAGGAAGTGTAAACGTAGTCAATGAAAGGAAGGCTGGTTTTCGTGATGGACTGGGCTTTGTTCACAACTCTGTGTAATGTCTTATGGTCTTGGGCAGAGAGATTGCCATACCAAGTTGTGATGCATCTGGATAGAATGCTTTCTGTGGTGCATTTATAAAAATTGGTCAGAGTCATTATGGATGTGTTGAATTTCCTTATCTTTCTGAGGAAGTAGAGGCATTGGTGTGCTTTCGTGACTGTAACACCGACATAGATGGATCAGGATAGATTGTTGGTGATATTACTACTTGGAGCTTGAAGCTCTTGTTGACCACCTCCACTCGGCCCCATTGATGCAGACTGAGGCATGTTCTCCACTCCACTTCCTGAAGTCAACGATCAGCTCCTTTATTTTGCTGACTTTGAGGGAGAGATTGCTGTCCTTACACTATGTCACTAAGCTGTCTATCTCTTTCCTGTACTCTGTCTCGTTGTTTGAGATCTGACCCACTACAATCGCGTCATCAGCAAATTTGTAAATGGGTTAGAGCTGAATTTGACCACACAGTCGTGAGTGTATAATGAGTATAGTAAGGGGCTTGGTACACGTCATTGCGGGGCACCGGCATTAAGGATTATTGTAGAGGAGGTGTGGTCACATATCCTTACTGATTGACGTCTTTGGGTCAGCAAGTTGAGGATCCAGTTGCAGATTGGGGAGCAGAGTCCTGGGTCTCCAAGTTTGAGATGAGTTTTGTTGGAATTATGGTGTTGAAGGTGGAGCTAAAGTCAGTAAATAGGAGTCCGACATAGGTGCCCTTGTTATCCAGATGTTCCAGGAATGAGCGTAGGGCCAGGGAGATGGCGTCTGCCGAGGACTTATTACAACGGTAGGCAAATGATAGTGGGTCAAGGCATTCTGAGAGGCTGGAGTTAATGTGTGCCATTACCAACCTCTCGAAGCACTTCATAATGATGGATGTCAGAGCTACCATGTGATAATCATAAATGCGCATTACCAGATTTTTCTTTGGCACCGAAATGATAGTGGTCTTCTTGAAGCAGGTGGAAACCTCACATTACAGTAAGGAGAGATTAAAGATGCCTGCAAATACGCCCGCCAGCTGGTCCATGCAAGATCTGAATGCGCAGTCATGGAATTCATCCAGGCCGGTCGCTGTCAGTGGGTTCACTCTCAAAAAGGCCGATCTGATGTCTGTGGGCGGTGACTGTGGGTACAGGTACACGTGAGGCTGTCGGTCATTTCACTGACCTTCTGTTCAAAACGAACATAAAATGGATTGAGCTTATCAGGGAGGGATGCATTGTCATCAGCGATTTGACTGGACTTCACTTTGTAGCCCTTTAAATCTTATAAGCCACGGCACAGTTGACTTGTGTTTGTGTGGTCAGTCTGGGAGTCTAGTTTGTCTGTTGGCATCCCTGACGGCTTTGTGAAGGTCATACCTAGATTTCCTGTAGAGGTTAAGGTCACCTGACTTGAATGCCTCAGACCAAGACTTCAGTAGGGAGTGGCTCTTCTAGTACATGCATGGTTTCTGTTTGGGGAACACTTGGTTTAGTTTCTTTGGCATGCAGTCTTCTACACACTTGTTGATGAAGGCTGTGATGGTTGTGGCATAATCATTTATGTTGGCAGCTGAGTTCTTGAGTATGGGCCAGTCTGACTCCAAGCAGTCATGTAGGAGCCCATCCATTACCTCAGACCAGCACTGTACGACTTTCTGTACCAGATCCTCATGGTTCAGTTTCTGCTTGTAAGCTGGGAAAAGAAGCACAGCCTTATGGTCTGACTTACCCAACTGTGGGATGAAGCGGTGGGCATCTTTGGTTCACATGAATTGTGATTATTTTCTCCAAGGCTACTTCCCATAACTTGGCTTTTCCAAATTCTCTGAAGAGTTTGATTGATTCAGTAACTCCTACCTTTCTGTACTGTGCTATAATTATCCAATGCCTTCACCTCTGTTAATCATCCTCGTCACTTGAGTTGTACCATAATTGTTGGGATCTGACACTGTTGCTGTTACACATTCCCTTCTATCTAACATTGTCACCAAAAGCAGGTGAAGTGTGCTTTCTTCTTTTGCCACTTTGTCTTCACTCCCTGCTGAGCTACATCAGTTTCTGGTTAAGCAGAATCTTGGTGTTAAAAATTTTCAACCATATCAAATTCCTCCATTGCCTTGCCCTAACCCTATCTCTCTAATCCCCTACCAATTTCACATCACTTCAGAATATCTATACCCCTTTCCTTCTAATCTCTTCAATATTTTTAATTTCCTTTGCTCATCATAAATGACTGTGCTGTCAGATGTATGACCCTGAATGTTGGAGCTGTATCCCTGAACCTAGCGGCTAGAGAACTCTTTTTCTGTGTCGTTAAAACCAACCAATGCCTTCAATCATCTCCCTGACTGTCTCCTTATTTGGTTTGGCATTAAATGTAAGTGTTAGTGCTGTTATGAAGCACTTTGGGGAAATTTTATTACATTCAAGGTCCCAGTGTCATATATATCTACATGATGCCCAAAGCCTCTTGGAGGTCCGTGGAGGTGTGAGGCTTTGTTAGGCTTAAAAATGGAGACGTTTCCTGGCCTAGATGAACTGCATCCCAGGCTGCTGTGAGAGGTGAGACAGGAAATTGCAGGGGTTCCGACATAAATTTTTTATTCCTCCCTGCCTTGAGGGAAGTACCAGAAGACTGGAGGACGGCTAATGTGGTTCCACTTTTCAAGAAGGATGGTAGAGTTGAACCAGGAAATTGCACACCGGGTCAGTCTCACATCAGTTTTAGAGAGAGTATTGGAGAAAATTCTGAAGGAGAGAATCACAATCCACTTGGAAAGGCATGGGTCAATTAGGGATAGCCAGCGTAGCTTTGTAAGAGGAAGATCATGCCTGTCAGATTTGCTAGAATTTCTCAAAAATGTGATCAAGTGTGTGGATGAGGGAAGTTCAGTTGATGTTAGTTTATATGGATTTTAGCAAAGCTTTTGCCAAGGTCCCAAATGGGAGACTGATTGTGAAGGTTAAAGCACGTGGAAGTCAGGGAAACTTGGTGAAATGGATCAGGAACTGGCTTAGTAATGGGACACAAAGGCTGTTTGAATGATTGGAGGCCGATATCAGTGGTGTACCACAAGAATCAGTCCTGGGAGTGATTATTAAAAACCGAAAGAACTGCGGATGCTGTAAATCAGGAGCAAAAACAACGTTACTGGAGGAGCACAGCAGGTCTGGCATCATCTGTGAAGGAAAAAACCGGACCCGAAACATTAAGAGATAACAAGATGTAGTGCTGGATGAACACAGCAGGCCAAGCAGCATCATAGGAGCAGGAAGGCTGACGTTTCGGGCCTAGACCCTTCTTCATTTTCAATGGGCTGAGAAGGGCCTTTTCTGTGCTGTATAATTCTGACTCTTTATGAAGCTCAGTGACTGAGTTTATCAGTCCTCCTCTTGAGGAGGTGGTTTCCTTTGTTGGCAAATCTGACATGGCAGCGATACAATATGTATCTTTGATACAATATTGTTACATATCAGATGATACAAAAAGAATGTTATTTAGTACTGAGAGAAGTGTATTCTGTTTTTTTTGAGGTCACTTGTTCTGTGTTTTGTAGCTGAAACAAGATGAGGTCATTCAGAGCTTAGTCACTCTTCATGTTGGAAGTCAGAGTTAAAGGTGAAATTCCTGATATTCTCCCCCTCAAATATGGAGCTATGAAGGTGAATATGAGGTTGCAGACATTCGGGCCAATGTCATTATGATCGTTGTACGAGGAACTATCTATATACCCAACATTTCTGTAGGTGTTATAATCAAATAAATAAGTTGATTTAAAATTGAATGAGTATGTAACATTTCACTTTGCTTTGTGTGCATTTAAAATCATTAATAACTTGTCTCTGCTTCCTCAATAGATCCGGATTGACAAGTTGGTGGACAAGTGGTCGGGCTCGATCGAGATTGGTATCACAGTGCACAACCCAAACAATTTGGACTACCCAGCAACAATGACCAATCTCCGTTCAGGTCGGGAGATTCTCCTTTGCCCTTGCACTAGGGAAATAATCTTTGGTTTTATTGCCTTCCCACCTTCATAAATTTCAACACATTTGCAACAGTGCCTCCTGTTTCTGAACTTGCATTTCTCATCACCACTGACCATGCTGGCTGGCTTTCCTTGACTCCCAGTCAAGCAGTACTTTGATTTTAAATTCTCATCTTTGTTTTGAAATCTCTCCATAGCCTTGCCATTTCCCTATCTCTGTAACCTCCTCCAGCCCCTGCAATGCTCCTGAACTTGGTAACGTCTTACAGCTCTCACAGTCTTAGCAACCTCCTCCAGCACCTACATCCCTTCCTATCTCGATGACCTCCTCAGCACCTAGAATACTCTCTATCTTGATAGTCATCTCAAGACCCTACAACTCTCTCTATTTCTGTAAACCTGCCCCAGCCCCAGCCCCATGACCCTCCAAGATCTCTGCAGTTTTCTAACTCTGGCTTCTCGAGCATCTCCCAATTCCCTTTTCTGCACTATTGGTGAAATTCCTGATATTCTCCCCCTCAAATATGGAGCTATGAAGGTGAATATGAGGTTGCAGACATTCGGGCCAATGTCATTATGATCGTTGTACGAGGAACTATCTATATACCCAACATTTCTGTAGGTGTTATAATCAAATAAATAAGTTGATTTAAAATTGAATGAGTATGTAACATTTCACTTTTTTATTGAATTCAAATGTCACCATCTACCATAGTCAGATTCGAACCTATGCCCCCCCAAAATTTCTGAGGTTCTTTATTGCTAGTCCAGTGACATTATTGCTATGCCACTATTTCCACCGTTTACTATCCCCTACCTCGAAGGGGTGATGGTAAGCTATCGTCTTGAACTGCTGCACTACGTTTTTCGCATTGCTGTCGGGACATTCCAGGATTTTGACCCAGCAACAATGAATCAGTGGCTGATGCCTGCAGTAATGGGAATGGTGCACAACATGGAGGGGACTTGTGCTGTTTCATTGTGCTAGCTGCGCTCGACATCTGCTAGGTGTTACAAGGCCAACTCCTTTGTCCGTGGCCTTCCCTCCATCATAAGGTCAGAAGTGGGGAAGTTTGTTGATGACTGCTCAATATTCAGACAATTCATGAGACCCCAGACTGAAATGGTCCATATCCAAATGTAGCAAGAGTTGGACAATATTCAGGCTTAAGCTAACAAGTGGCAAGTAATATTCGCACCACAAAATTGTCAGGCAAAGACCATGTTCGACAGGAGAGAATCCAACTATCTCTCCTTGACATTCAGTGGTGTTACCGTCATTGACTCTCGCACCATCAATATCCTGAGGGTTACTGTTGACTAGAAACTGAACTTGACTCGTCATAGAAGTACTGTGGATGATTGTGGCTACAACAACACTCAAGAAGCTTGAGACTATCTCGTTCAAAGCAGCCGTCTTGATTGGCACCACATCTACAAACATTCACTCCCTCCATACTGATATACAGTAGCAACAGTGTGTCCCTGGTCCCAAGATGCACTGCAGAAATTCACCAAGGCTTCCAAACCTGTGACCACTACCATTAGAAAGACAAAGGCAGCAGATACATCACCACCTGCAAGTTCCCTTTTGAACCACTCCCCATCCTGACTTGGAAAGACATTGCTGTTCCTTCACTGTCACTGGGTCAAAATCCTGGAAGTCTGTCCCTAATGGAATTGTTGGCCTATACCAAATGGTTGAAAAAAAATCCCACCACCTTCTCTAGGGCATCTACAAATGGGCAGTAAATGTTGGCCCAGCCAGTAACATTCACATTCCCATGAATTAATAAAATAAGGAGTCCAACTGATGCTGTGCAGTACACCCTGGCCAGCTATGGTGTAACCTGCAGATGGTACACAAGTGGGTGAATGTTGACTATTTGGAGAATTCTGAGGTGAAATGTTAAAGTTGTCACCAGACTGTCAGCCCAGTATGGCACCTGCTGTGTTGTGATGATCTCAACTGGCAAAATTTCCTTGTGTTTGAAGAATGCTGTTTAAGAGTCATAGAGTCATGCAGCACAGAAACAGACCCTTTGGTCCAACCATAATCACAAACTAAACCAGTCCCACCTGCCTGTGCTTGGCCCATATCCCTTAAAAAAAAATCTAGAAGTAAATCTAGAAATAAGCCTGAATCTCAGGAGCAACTGCAAGATCCACATTACTTTCAGTCCAGTGGTGAAATTAACACCGTGTCGCTTCAGACAATACGTCAAGAAGAATCCTGTTGGTGCATTATGTGTGCTGGGCTTCGGTTGTGGGAGTTGTGTCTAATCCTTCTTTTCCCTTTTCAGGAACAATTATGATGAGCGGCTGTGGAATTCTAACCAATGGGAAGGGGACACGAAGGGAATACTGTGAGTTTAGCCTGGATGAGCTGCAGGTAATATAACTGCTTCTCTCACAGCAAGGGGCCAATGGAGGGGGAGATCAGAACCAAGTGCTAGCAATGTGCGACAGTCGCTAATAATTCCCATCAGGAATGCAGAAGAAATCACTGGGGAGTGGTAAGAATGGCATTCTCGCTACACAGAGTAGCTGTAGAGGGCATTGCAAATGTATTTAAAAGGATATTTTAAAAGGGAGAAAGAAACTGGAAGATCCTCTGATATTGTGGTTCTATAGAGCTGCAAGCACCAGTTGGGCTGAATAGTCTGTCTATGCTGTGCATTCTATGTGTACATCCCCCTATTTCTAGCAATGAGAATCAGGGAAACAAACAACCCAGCCACTGTTGTCTGGATCGAAGGTCAAGATGTTGAAATGAGTCAGTTTTGATCCCTTGCGTGTGCCAATCTTGTAGCGGTTGGGGGCAGGTTTCATTGTGCTACTGGACAGAGGCTCTGCAGGTGTTTGCAATGCCAGTGGGTAACAGAGGAGGAGGGAATATCAGCTGATTCCTAGAGATAGCAAGGTGTAGAGCTGGATGAACACAGCAGGCCAAATGATTTTTCTGAAGAAGGGTCTAGGCCCGAAATGTCAGCTTTCCTGCTCCTCTGATGCTGCTTGGCCCTGCTGTGTTCACCCAGCTCTACACCTTGTTATCTCAGATTCTCCAGCATCTGCAGTTCCTACTATCTCATCAGCTGATTCCTGGTACCTTTCATCATCCAGTTTCTGTTACATGAATGTAGCAAGGAGATTCTCATGCTTGAAATGCAGCAGCCATAGACAAAAAGCCAAAGTCCATGTCTAGCTGGAAATTGTTGTTTGGGTTCCCAGGAAACAGGGAACAGTTTTCACTGTTTTGAGCATTTTTTCCCTTGTGTCCACAGGAAGGAGATCACATTGGACTCATGCGGAAGTCCAATGGGGCTTTGCATTTTTACATAAATGGCATCGATCAAGGTAAGACCCTCGCTGCTGCTGTTAACCTGTGGTTAATTTGGTCTCAGTGTCCTTGTTCAGCATGAAAGGGGTAAAAATCTAACTCTGATAGAGGAGTAAATACACAGGTCAGTCAAAGTAGCTGCACAGGTTAATAAGGCCATTTAAAAAATATGCAAACCAAGGTCTAACATTTATTTGGAGAGAATTAGAAAATAATTATCTGAGACTTGTGTTGATCCTTTGCTAAGGCTATGCTTGTGACACTGTGTTCAGCTAGCCATACTGAGTCTGAGAAAAGACTTACAAGGATGGTACCAGAACTGATAGGGTCTCCCAGTTGAAGGTGTCAAAACAGAGATTTTAATAAAGAAACACAGAGAATGTTTCCAGTTATAGGAAGAGCTTTAGGTAAAGAAGATGTTGATAGGTTGATGCAAGCTTGATGGGTCGAAGGGCCTCTTCTGTGCTGTCAGTGTTTCCAATTGAGCAGGAGACCAGTGCACTGCACTGTACAATGTTCTCCACTCGCATGCTTTCCTCATTTTGGAAAGCAGAGGGACAGTATTGATATATTGAAGAGAAAGGCTGGATAGACACGAGGAAGAAAGGATAGAAGCATTTGCTGGTAAGGCGAGATGTAGAGGTGATGAGGGGATTTGTGGACAGGCACACAAATCCTCGATGGAACAGGAAAGATAATAACGTAGTTAAGGAGTCAGACTTATTAGCTGAATTAAATATATGAATGGGAAGGTCGAACTGCAACTCTATAAAACACAAGTTGGTTCACAGTTGGAGCACTCTGTGATTCTGGGCCTCATTAGCCTGGGCCTCTGTTTTACAGGTCTCATGACAATACCACTGCAACACCGCCCATGCTCCTGTACCACCCCTTCCATTGGAGAGCATTTTAAGAAATATTATTCCCCAGAGGGTGGCGGAGTCTGGAGAATACAGCCTGAGAGTGATGGAGTTAGAAGTCCTTACTGTATTTTAAAAGAAACTTGATATAAGTCACAGCGGGTATGGACACAGAACTGGAAAGTAGGAATATGCTGAATAGCTCTTTCCTGGTTGGTACAGACATGATTAGACCACTTTCTGTGCTGTTCTTTATCTATGATTCTTTAAAATAGTGGCAAGAGATTCATTTGCATCTACTCAAGAGAGCAGCAGTGCCCTCAGCTGTGTGCCTCCTCTATTTGGACTCTTTTGAGTGGATGTTGCTTCCTTAGCATTGGCCCTGGAAGTATCAGCCTGGCCTAAGCACTCATTTTCTGGATCAGAATTTGAACCCAAAACCTTTGAGCTGAAATGAGGCTGCTACCAACAGACCTAAAGCTTGGACCTAAATACAGTGATCTACTGTGTCGTGCTGAGATGCAGCCCTCTCAGAATCTTAACATTACGAGTAACTGGTATGTAAGAGTTCCAAGCAACAGGGCTGCCCATTTCTGGGGTATCCTAGAACATTCGAATACATCAAACCATTTGGCTATCGTAGCCTTTGAAAGAAGTGCCCAAATTAATCCCACAGCCCTGAACATTAATGTTCCCACATAAAGTGCGGTTGCCTTTTGTTGGAGTGTCACAGTATCTGAATTATTCGCTGCAGCAGATCGGGTCCAGCATTACATCTGGGAACATGGCATTCCCTGAGAGTACATAGAAACGCCAGCCGGTGTTATACCTTCAAGTCCTCAAGGGAGGTTTGAACTTCTCACCTCCAGACTTGGAAGGAAGAGTGCTGCCACTATGCTATACTGATTGTGATAAACAAAATCTCATCTGGGATTTGAAGCCAGAATCTCTCTCAAATTTGAATCACCAAAGCAAGAATCATTTTGCTCTGACTGAGCAGTTTACCAGAAAATTGGGTATGAGGAATTTTATTCAACCCCCGAACTTCTTGTATCAGATTTGAGTTTTGGTCATGGCAAAGCTTCTCCTTCTCTGAACTGGTTACGTTTTACTCATGATGGTTTTGCTTGGTCTCAGCTCGCAAATGAGCCATTTCACAACTTGGCACTCGGCTTGACTAATGCCATAACCAGCATCCTGCCATGCCAATCAAGTTGTACGTTAGCCAGAAACTGTTCAACAACAACAGTGGGTATATTGTCGCTCTTTCAGAAGTGTGCAGATTCACCCCTCTCTCTGTCTCTGACCCCACCCTCACCTGCCTGTCGCCCTCTCCACCTCTCTTTCCTCCTCCCCCTCATTCTCTCCTCTTTTCTATCTCTTTTCTCTCTCACTCTCTCCCCTCTCCCCTCTCTCCCTCTCTCTCTCTGTCTATCTCTCTCTCCCTCCCTCTCTCTCTTCTGCACCCTTCTCCCCCTCTCTATCCCACCCTCTCACTCTCCACCCCCCACCATCTTGTTCTCCCTCTCCCGTTCTCACCGTCTTTCTTTCTCGCCCCATCTCCTGCGCACTCTCTTGACCCCCCCCCCCCCCCCCCCCTCCCCCCCCCCCCCTTGCCCCCTCCCCCCCCCCCATCCGTATCTCTCTCTGTCTTCTCCATTGCCTCCCCCATTCTCTGTCTGTTTCTATCTTTCTCTCTCTCGGTCTCGGTCTCTTTCCCTGTCCCTCTGTCTCTCGCAGGCGTTGCTGCCACCCAGACTCTGCCCACTGTTTACGGGGTGGTGGATCTCTATGGCATGGCAGTGAAAGTGACCATTGTCCACAACCACAACCACTCTGACCGACTGCGCAGGAACAACGCCATCATGCGGGCTCTGTCGCCAGACGTGGGGCGGCGAGTATTCGACTCGGGTGACACCGAGGTGGAGCGGCTGCTCTTCCATCCCAACTGTGGGCAGAAGGCAGCGATCGTGTGTGATGGGAGGACAGCACTGAGGCCCCAGTAAGTAAGCAAGAGGAATTGAACTGTACAGTACTTGTCCTGGAAGTGTGAGATGGGGATAGTGTGGAGGGAGCTTTACTCTGTATCCAACCCCGTGCTGTACCTGTTCTGGGAGTGTTTGATGGGGAACATTGTAGCTTTACTCTGTGTATCTAAACCCATGCTGTACAGCTGTACTCTGTATCAAGCCCCATAGTGAAAACCTAATTCTGAATCTAACCCCATACTGTGTACGTCCTGGGAGTATTTGATGTGGTCAATGTAGAAGAAGCTTCACTCTGTCTCTCACCCAATGCTGTAGTTGGCCTGGGAGTGTCCAGACCAAGGGGACTGAACTTTAAATTTGAGCCGGGCCTATTGGGGTGATGTCAGGAAGCAATTCCTCGTACAAATGCGAGCACAAATCTGGAACTCTGTTCCGCAAAAAGTTGAAGTGGCTGAGCAGGGTCCGTTGAAAATGTTAAATTATGTATGGAGAGATGATATTACTGGACAAGTGGTGAGTGTTTGTGGATTCAAAGATGGATAAAGAAAACATTGACACACATTTGCTGTTGGTTCGAGTTGCTGGATGGCCTTCTCCTGTTTCTTCAGAATAGAAGAATGAAAGGTAAATGATTGTACTTGAGCTGCAGCGATGTAAAAGATGCTCTAGTCTGGTCATGTTTCCCAGTCTGGAAAATCCATTATTGAGGTTGAAGTGGACTCTGAACTGTTTGAGAGTGTTTTAATTCAGCTTCACGATTTTATTGTTGGTGAATATTTTCCGCACAGTTTGCTTTCCAACACATACATAACTCGAAGCTTTTGGAGTCCTTTCAATTTCTGTATTTTGAGTTGCAACTCAAATCTTGGAATGCAAAACTCCTAGATTCAAGCCTCAATCCAGAGGGTCATAAAGAAAATTGTGGTGAACGTTTTCTGTGTGGTATGAAAGGAATGCTGCACTGTCTGTGCTGCTCTCCTTTGGATATGACGTTAAGTTTTCCTGGTCTTCTCTTCCACATGGTCTTTTCAAATATGAACAGGAGACTTTTCCAAGGTGCCTTGAGTCAAAATGTACCCCTCAATCAATGTCTTTAAACACTGTAGATTATCCAAAGATGTTGTGGTATGTGGGATCTTGCTGTGCATTGTTTGGCAGCGGTGCTTCCCATTTTACAACTGGACTTCAAGAAGTGTTCTGGTGTCATGAAAAGGATCATTTCGATACTAATTATTTGGCCCCAGTGTGTTCACACCATTACATAAGTGTTTCGGTGCTTGAGTCATGTTAGCATACCTAATGTTCTTGTCGTTCTTTCTCAACAGCGCGACAGATGATTTCAACCACGGGGTGGTACTCAGCAACCGTTCCCTGAGGAGCAATGAAATCTTCCAAGTCCGTATTGACAAGATGGTGGACAAGTGGGCGGGATCCATTGAGATTGGCGTGACTACCCACAATCCTGCTTACCTTCAGTTACCATCAACCATGACCAATCTCCGTTCTGGTGGGTTTTCCTGGGTCACACAACCTTTCACTTGATCCTCTGTCACTGTCGTCCCCCATCCCACACCCCCCCCCCCCCCCAAACAGACTCTTCGCCCTCCTGCCATCCTTCCCACTCCCTTCACCCAGAACTCATCATCCTCCCACCTCTCTACCTCTCTCCTCTAGTGCCCGTTCCTCACCTCTCTACAGAAAACAGCCTTTGCATTGCTGACTTTTCCTGGAGAATATCCTGGATAAGTCCAGCTACCCAGCCACCTAACTACTTGCTACTGGCAGAAGCAGCTCTGGTGAAAAGAGAAGCACGTTTGTGTTTCTGCTTGCTGACTTGTCGCTGAAGGAAAAAAGCTGTTACTTCTCCCTTTTTAGGTACTTGGATGATGACTGGTAACGGTGTGATGCATAACGGGACCACAATTCTTGATGAGTACGGACACAACCTTGATCGACTGAAGGTGGGTTCATTCAATATTAACATGTTACTGCAGTTGAAGACAGCCATGTCTCATTGCTCATTTGTGAATTTTTCTGAGTAAGTGATCCTGCACTATCTTCATATATCCTAATTCCCATGTTATCCATAAATCTATCAATTTCTGCATTGAAAATGCTTAACAACTGGAGATTCACAATGCCCTTCATTTGAGAATTTAAAATATGCATGGGAAATAGGAGCAGGAGTAAGCCTGCTCCACCATTCTAAAAGAAAATGGCTGAATGTGTACCTCAGTGTCATTTCCCTATGCTATCTCCATGCCAATTGATATATTTATTATCTAGAATCACAATGTTTTGAGTGAAGTGCCTCCCTGTTGCACGTGGAAATGGTCAGTCAAACACAGTGACCAGTCATACACAACACATGTACAGTACGATACGCACACAGTCCCACACTGCACGCTCGCAGCACGTACCTGCATAATACATTCCACAAATACATGACGTCAATTGTCTTGCCAATCCAGCATCTGATCTCTTAGTTTCTGTAAGAATTTTATGTTTCAACTGAACTAAATTTGTTTTAGCAACACAAACACCGGAGTAGGCCACGCAACCCATCCATCATGTTCTGCCATTTATTGCATTCATGGCTGATCAAATGCTTCAATGTCTTTTACCCACACTATCTCAATAATCCAAAGTGCATTGGTAATTAGAAATCCATTAACCCCTGCCTTAAACATACTCAAAGACTGAGCTTTCACAAACTTCTGGGGTACAAAATTAGAAAGATTCGGCACATTCCTCCTTACCTTTATGTCATCCGATCAATTAAAAAATTATATTTGGTCCCTACCTTGGAATCATTGATATATCATTGTGGACAGCAGGAACCCATGTACTGATCCTTGTGGTACCCCACTCGTCACAGCCTGCCAATGTGGAAACGATCCATTTATTTGTACTCTACTTCCTGTAAGCCAATTGTTAATCCACGCCAATGATCTCCATACTGTGACTTTTAATTTTGCTAACTAACTTCCTGTGGGGGATCTCGTCTAAAGACTTCCGAAAATCCAAATCTAGTACATCCATCAACTTCCGTTTATCAATTTTGTTTGTTACACCCTCAAAAATACTCCAACAAGATTGTCAGGCACAATTTTCCATTTGTAAATCCATGCTCACCGTGCCCAATCGGATCATTTTTGTCCCAGTTTCTGTTTATCATGTTATACATTCTTGCATTTTCTGTACCACTGATGGAAGGCTGATTGGTCTGTAGTTGCCTATTTTGTTGCCCACGGTCCTTTCTTAAATATTGGGAGGGTGGCTGCACATTTTCAAGCTGCAGTTTTCATTCCAGAATCTTGGAGGTTTGGGTGATGGTTGCCATTTTGAGAATGTAGTTGATTTTTCAGAATATTATCATATCCTCACACAGTGCGGTGCTCCCTTAGCACTGGCAGTCAGACTGCACAGTGCTCCGTTAGTGCTGACCCTCAGACTGGGCAGCACACCATTATACTTAATTACTAATTACGTCAGTACAGGTTACAGTGATAAGTAGAAGGTAAATGACACTATACAGACCTTTGCTGTGGCCAGTGATGGTGAGGTGAAAGCTTTTATCTGCCGTGAGTCAAATTGAGGTTGTGTGTGCCACCTCCTTGGTCACTGCTGGGACCCATGAATAATAGGTAAATGGAAGGGGAGTAAATGCTGGTTTCCCACCCCTCCCATATTACTTCCCATTCTAATGTCTTGTCTCATTCTTCCTCCATTATTGGCTGGACAAGGCGGGTGACACCGTTGGCGTTATGCGCAAGGATGATGGAAGTTTGCATTTCTTTGTGAACAATGTGGACCAGGGTCTTGCAGCATCCAACGTGCCATCCAGTGTTTATGCCGTTGTGGATCTGTACGGCCAAGCTGCCCAAGCCACTATCGTTGATGATATAGGTGAGTGTTGTTTAACTAGCCTTGGCTGCACTTGAATCTGCGCCATTTTACCAAACCCAGCGCAGTCAATGCTCCTCATGCCCTTCTATGTCCTGCATCCACTTCCTCCTTCTGAATACATGGAATTTCGAGTGGGAAAAGACCAGATTTCCCGTTAAGTTTGACTTGTACCTCATGTATTTCTCAGGTCATAAGAACAAGAGTTGGCCATTTGGACCTCTCCACCATTTAATGAAATCATGGCTGATCTTCTAAGCTACTTCTGCCTGCTTTGTTTGAATATACAGTAGCTTTATTCCCCTACCGCCCAATTCTTGATCTCAGTCTTGACTGTAATCATCAATTAAGCATTTACAACTTTTTCCGGTAGAGAATTCCACACCTGAAGAAATTTCATGGAATTGTAAAATCCCTATAGTGCGGAAGCAGGCCGTTCAGCCCATCAGATGAACACCGCACCTCGAAAGAGCATTCCACCCAGACCGACTCCCTGTAACCCTGCATTTCCAGTGGCTAATCCAGCTCGCCTGTACATCCCTGGACACTGTGGGCAATTTAGCATGGCCAGTCCACCTAACCTACATATCTTTTAACTGTGGGAGGAAACCAGAGCACCTGGAGGAAACCCGTGCAGACATGGGGGAAATGCACAAACTCCACACAGACTGGAGTCGAACCTGGGTCAGTGACACTATGATGCGGCAGTGTTAACCACTGAGCCACCGTGCTGTCCCAGTTTCTCCCCCTCTCAGTCCCAAATGGTTGACCCCTCATTCTGAGATGATACTAGACTTTCTGGCCTGTGACTTGCAGCCCCTCAGAATCATAGTGCAGACAGAGGCTATTTGGTCCACTGAGTCCAACCCTTTGAGGAGGATCCCACCCAGACCCACCCCCATATCCCTGCATTAACCATTGCTAATCCGCTGAGCCTCGTCTCTCTCTCTCTCTCTCCCTCGTCTTTGAGGAATTTTAATCAATTCATCAAAAGCTCTTGTTACATTCTAGAAAGTATTAGACCCACTTAACTCAATCCTTCCTCGTAGGACAATGTACTCATCCCAAAAATCCATTCGGATATTGCAACCATCCCTCGTCTCTTCTTCTTGCAGCTGGTGGTTGTCTGGGTCTCCTTGCCTGTGGGCATCCTGCATGTGTCCTCGCAGTGTTCCAAGTCAAAACTCATCTCAACAATTCCAGCCCTAATAACTAACTTTCCTCCAAAGACTGAGACTCCTCGCCTCCCTTAGTAACCTGCTTGCTGTCTTTCTGATTTATCTGAACTTTCAGCTTTGTTCTGATCTGTCCACATTGGCTCATGTACCCATACCATACAGGAGCAGAAGTAGGCCTGCTCCATCAGCCAACAAGATTGTGGCTGATCTGTTTGTGTTTCCAATTCCCATCTCTTTCCCCATCCCCTTTCCAGTTCTTCTCCTTTCAATCCCATCTCTTCTGATCCCTCCTCTTCGATTCCTCATACTCTTAAGTTTTCCAAGTATTTATGAATAACTGTAAATACTCAATTGCTGGATGTCATTGGTCTGATAACAATGTGTGAGGGATTGATCCTGGGTTAACTTGATAGGGTTGGGGATGTGCACTAATCTGATTGAGGAGAGAGTATGTGAAATTAATATTTGGTGAATCTGATGGCAGTATCTATCCATCATTGATTAATCCTGCATCAGTCTGATCAGGCTTCGTGTGTGAGTGATCAATCCAGCAACAATTTGATGGGGGAGGCATGTGTGCCTGTTTCTGTGGGTTGGTGACATCGGCGTGAGTCTCTCTGGGGGTTGGCAACCTGTTGGGGTGCCTGCCTTTGGGGATTGGTGATGTTGGGGCATGTGTGTGTGTCTCCATGTCCATGTCCAATCCCTGACATGATCTATTATTCTGTTTCCCTGTCCAGATCTGCCGCCTCTGCCCGATGAGCCTTTGGATGGCAACAACCAGATCTCTCCCTGCAGCCTCTTCTCACTAACCCCCAGCAATGACCTCCGCTTCCACCATCTCCATGGCAACAATGCTGTGATCACTAACGGTGGCCGCACTGCCTTTCGGCAGAACTGCCGCAGCGAGTTCAACGATGCTATTGTCATGTCCAGCAGGTAAAGCTGCAAACCGCAAACCTATTCCCAGACAGGGGAATTTACAATAATAACTATCTGTCTAGCATCTGCAGTGTAATAAACCATTTTCGTGTGCTTCACAAGAGAATTGCTTGACACCGAAGCTCAGGTTGAGACATTAAGGAAAATTAGGTAAGAGCTCAGTTAAAAAAAGAAAAGATTGTTAAAGAGCGTTGTAAAGAAAGCAGATCTAGAGAGAAAATTCATCAGCTTCAAACCTTGAAAACTCAGAAGAGTGCCGAGGTCTTGGAGTGTTGTGAGGTTGGAGGAGGTTACAGGAATAGGGAGGGATGTCAGAGCTGGAAGAGGTCACAGAGATAGTGAGAACTGTAGCTGGTCCAAAACAGCCACCTAACTATTCTAATCCTTTTTGCCAGCACTTGGCCCATAGCCTTGTATGCCTTGGTATCACAAGCGCCATGTCTAAATACTTCTTAAATGTGATGCGAGTTTCTGCCTCTACTACTCTTACAGGCAGTGAGTTCCGGATTCCCACCACCATCTGGGTGAAAAAGGTTTATCCTCACATCTTCTTCTCTTAAACCTTCTGCCTCTTACCTTAAATTGTACACCACTTGGTCATCGATCCCTCCATCCAGAGGAAAAGTTCCTTCCCGTCTACTCTATCTGTACCCCTAAAAAGTTTTACATTTCAATTACATGACCTCTCAATTTCCTCTGCTCGAAGGAAAGCTATCACAGTCAGTCCAATCTGTCTTCATAACTGAAACTCTCCAGCCCAGGCGACATCCTGGTAAATCTCTGCACCCTCTCCAGTGCTGTCACATATATCCTATGATGCGGATTCCAGAGCTACACAATGTAATCTGGCTGTGGCCTAACCAATGTTTCGTACAGTGCCAGCATAACCTCCCTGCTTTTAAACTCAGCTAATAAGGGCGAGTATACCATTATTGCATTATTGATGAAAGAGGCCATCACTGCAGAAATGAGGGAGGATGTCTTAGAAGGCTCCTCAAATGGAGCCATCTAGCTAGATCTTAGAACTAAAAAAGGATTGGTCACTTTGCTAGGATTATACTAAAAGCCTCCCAACCAAGGGAGATAGAAGAGCAAATATGTAGGCAGATCAGAGAGATGCAAGAGGAATAGGGTTATAGTATAGGATTTCTGGGACTGCCTTAGTGTGAAAGGATCAGGTGATGTGGAATTTTTCAAGTAGGATTTTTCAATTCAGGAGAGCTTTTGTGCCAATACATACATAGTGCTACTAGTGATGGGGCAGTACCTAATCTTAGGGAATGAATTCAGTCAAGAAGTTGAATTCTCTGGGCATTTTCAGGATAGTGATCATAACTCTAGGTTTCAAAGTCACTATTGAAGTTAAGTACCTAAATTAGGGAGAGTCCAATTTCAACATTATTAGACAGGATCTGGCAAAGCTAGACTGGAAGCAGTTACTTGCAGGTAAGTCTATATTTGGAAAGTGGCAGTCTTTTAAAAGTGATATAAGCAAGAGTTAAGGGCCAGCATGTTCCTTTCAGAGTGAAGAGCAAAGACAGATATCCAGGAACCCTGGGTATCCAGGGATATTGGAAGTTTATTAAAGAAAAAGAATGACGCATATGTTAGTTACAGAGCATTAAAAATAGTGGAGACCCTACAGAAATGTAGTGTGTGTAGGGGAGATGCTTAAAAAGAAATTAGGAGGGCAAAGAGGGGCCACAAAATACCTTTGGCAGATAGGATTATGGAAGACCCCAAGACATTTTATAAATATATTAAGAGCAAAAGGGTTACCAGGGAAAGAGGGACAATCTGTGCGTGGATCTAGAGGAGAAATTAATATTTCTCAACTGTATTCACAAAAGGGAAACACATTGTAGCTGGAGATTTCATTTGGGATGATGAGGTTCTAGAGCATGTTAACATTAATAGGTAGGGTTTAGATGTTTTAACAGGCATAAAAGTGCATAAATCCCCAGAGCCTGATCATATGTCATGGAATCCCTACAGTGTGGAAACAGGCCCTTCGGCCCAACAAGTCCACACCGAACCTCAAAGCATCCCACCCAGACCCACCCTGTTATAACCCATCTAATCTACACATCCCTGAACACTATGGGCAATTTAGCATGGCCAATCCACCTAACCTGCCCGTCTTTGGACTGTGGGTGGAAACCGGGCGAAACCCACGTAGACACGGGGAGAATGTGTAAACTCCACACAGCCAGTCGCCCGAGGGTGGAATTGAACTTAGGTCCCTGGCGCTGTGAGGCAGCAGTGCCGCCCATGTATCCCAGGCTGGTATGGGACAAGATTGTAGGGGCCCTGGTGGTGATATTTAATACTTGGCTGGCCAAAGATGAAGTGCCAGATGACTGGAAGATAGCTAATGTTGTTCTTTTATTCAAGTAGGGCAGCAGGGAAAGGCCAGGTAATTACAGATCTGTTAGTCTGACATCGGTGGTAGGGAGATTCTTGGAAAAAATTCTGAGGGAAAGGCAGGGATTGATCAGGCATATCAGCACAGATCTGTTGGAGGCAGATCCTGTCTGACTAATTTAAGGTTTTGAAAATTTGACTTAATATATTGATGAGTTTAGTGCAGTTGATGCAGTTTACATGGACTTCAGTAAGGCCTTTGACAAGGCCCTACGTGGAAGGCTGGTCCAAAAGGTAAGAGCCCATGGGATTCAAGGCCAGTCGGCAAACCAGATCCAAAACCGGCTTGCAAATGAGCTCCTAAGGGTGAAAGAGTAGGATTGTTTTTATGACAGGAAGTCTGTAACCAACGGTGTACCACACCGATCAGTGTTGTAATGCTAGTTGTCATGTCCGTTAACGACTTGGATGTGAATGTAGACCGTGTAATTATTAATTTTGCAGATGGCACATAAATTGATGGTGTTGCTAGGGAGGAGGATGATCTCAGGCTACAGTCTGATATTATCAGCTGGTAAATTAGGCAGAACAATGACGGATGGCATTTAATCCTGATAAGTGTGCGATAGTGCATTTTTAGAGGTCTAATAATGGAAGGATTTACTCAATGAATGGTAGGTTCGTTCAGGAGTACTGAAGAACAGATGAAACTTTTGTTCATTATGTCTGTAGATTCCTGAAGGTGTCAGCACAGGTAGGCAGGGTGGTGAAGAAGGCATATGGGATACTTGCCTTCATTGGCTGGGGCATAGAATAAAGGAGAAAGGAAGTCTTATTGCACCTTTATAAAACATTAGTCAGGCCATAGATGATACTGAGTGTGGCGACCAGCACTGCACAATTGGAAGGATGTGAGTGCAGAGAAGATTCACCAGGATGTTTCCTGGGATAAAATGTCTGTTATGAAGGAAGACTGGGTAGGCTGTGTTTGTCTTTCCTGGACCAGAGGAATTAATAGGTGTAGGTAGTAGGTCATGACAATCTTTTCCCTGTGGCTGATGTGTCTAAGATGGATAGCATAAGTTTTTAAGGTGATGAATGAGTGGTTCAGAAGAGATATGAGGAAAAGGTTTTTCACCCAGCAGGTAGTAGAAATATGGAACGCACTGACTGAAAGGATGGTGATGGCAGGTACTCGCGAAACATTTAAGAAGCAGCTTGACGATCACTTAAAATGTCAGGCCGTAGTCCAGGTAAATGAGAGAAGTATAGTTTGGCGTTTGTTGGTCGGCATAGACATGGTGGGCCAAAGGTGTTTCTAGGCCGTACGGCTCTACAACATATATGCTTTTTATAGTCATAGAGTCATCATAATCGCTAACTGGCTAGTTCCACTTGCCTACACTTGGCCCATATCACTCCAAACATTTCTCGTTCATGTACTTACCCAAATGTCTTTTAAACGTTGTAACTGTATCTGCATCCATTGCTATCCCTGGAAGCTTGTTCCACTCTCTGTGTAAAAAAAAAAAAAGTTGCCCCCATTTTTAAAGCTTTCTCCTGTCACCTTAAAATTATGCCCCCTAGTCTTGAAGGCCCCCACCCTAGGGAAAAGACACTTGCCATTCACCTTCTCTGTACTCTTCATGATTTTACATATCTCTACAAAGTCACCCCTCAACCTCCTATCTCCAGTGGAAAAAGGTCCCAACCTATCCACCATCTCCTTATAACTCAAACCCTCCATTCCCAGCAACAGCCTGGTAAAACTCTTCATACCCCTTTCCAGCTTAATAATATCCTTCCTATAGCAGGACAACCAGAACTGGACACAGTACTCCAGAAGAGGCCTCACCAGCATCCTGTACAACCTCAATATAACATCCTGACTCCTATACTCAAAAGTCTGAGCAATGAAGGCAAGCGTGCTAAACACATTCTTAACCACCTTCTTAACAACAGACAGCATGGTTCAGTGTGGGGGAGGTTGTGCCTCACTAACTTCATTGAGTTTTTTGAGGAAGTGATGAAGATGATTGATGAGGGAAAAGCAGTTGATGTTGTCTACATGGACTTCAGTAAAGCCTTTGACAAGGCCCCTCATGGCAGACTGGTACAAAAGGTAAAGTCAAATGGTATCGAGGTGAGCTGTAAAGATGGATACAGAACTGACTTAGTCATAGGAGACAGAGGGTGGCGGTGGAAGGATGCTTTTTGGAATGGACGTTTGTGACCAGTGGTGTTCCACAGGGATCAGTGCTGGGACCTCTGCTGTTCATGATCTATATAAATGATTTTGAGTAAAACATAGCTGTTCTAATAATTAAGTATGCAGATGATACAAAGATTACTGGAGTTGCGCGTAGTATGGATGATTGTCAGAGGATATAGATCAGTTGGAGGCATGGGCAGAAAAATGGCAGATGGAGTTTAATCCAGACAAATGTGAGGTGATGCATTTTGGAAGGTCAGGTACAGGTGGAAATTATACAGTAATTGGCAAAACACTTAGGAGTATTGATATGCAGAGGGATCTGGGTGTGCAGGTCCACAGATCACTGAAGGTGGCAGCGCAGGTAGATAAGGTTGTGAAAAAGGCCTATGGCATGCTTGCCTTCATTGGAAGGGGCATTGAGTATAAGGATAGACAAGTTATGCTGCAGCTTTATAGGACTTCAGTTAGGCCACACTTGAAATATTGCATATAGGTCTGGTCACCACACTACCCAAAGGATGTCGATGCTTTGGAGAGGGTACAGAAAAGGTTTACCAGGATATTGCCTGGTATGGGGGATTTTAGCTATGAAGAGAGGTTGGATAGACTGAGTTTGTTTTCACTGGAACGCAGGAGGTTGAAGGGCGATCTGATAGAAGTTTATAAGATTGTGAATGCCATGGATAGAGTGGAAAGTATGAGACTTTTTCCCAGCGAAGAGGTGTCAATTGCTAGGAGAAATAGGTTCAAGGCACGGGGGGAATGTTTAAAAGAGATATGTGAGGCAAGATTTTCACACAAAGGGTGGTGAGTGCCTGGAACGCGCTGCCAGAGTAGGTGGTGGAAGCAGACACAATAGCAGCATTCAAGAAATACCTGGAAAAGGTACATGAATAGGAAGGGAATAGAGGGATACGGATCCTGCAAATGAAGACAGTTTTAGTATGGAAGGGCAAAATGTGTTGGTGCAGGCTTGGAGGGCTGAAGGGCCTGTTCCTGGACTATATTGTTCTTTGCTCACCCTGTCTTTATGTAACGCAGACTTCAAAGAATTATGTACCTGAACCCTACGTCTCTGTTCTACAAGACTACCCAAGACCCTACTTTTAATTGTATAAATCCTGCCCCTGTTTGATATACCAAAATAGAATACCTCACATTTATCCAAATTAAACTCCATCTGCCACTCTTCAGTCCATTGATCCAGTTGTTCAAAATCTCTTTGTAATCTTAGAAAACTTTCTTCACTGTCCACTAATCATGGGTTCAATCGCAAACTTAATAACCAAGTCTTTTATATCCTCATATTCTATTTTCTTTTTCCCCACTTTATCCTGTCCTGATACCTTAGGGAACTGGTGTGTATGCACACCAAGGTTCCTCTGATCTTTGGTACTTCTCAGGGTCCAACCATTCATCACGTATTCCCGGCCTTGTTTGTCTTGACCAAGTGCTTCATCTCATGTTTATCTGGATTGAATCCTGTTTGCCACTGATAAGCCAATCTGACCAGCCGTTTATAACCTCCTGTAATCTAAGGCTATTTACCACCCCACCAATTTTTGTATCTCTACGAATTTACTGATCAACTGTCCTACATTCAAGCCTAAATCATTTATATCAACCACAAACTGCAAGAGCCCCAACACTGACCCCTTTTGGACCCCACTAGACATAGACTTCCAGTTGGAAAACACCCCTCAAACATCACCCTGTGCTTCCTGTCACTTGGCCAATTGTGGATCCAATTTGCTAGATTTCCTTGGATCCCATGGGCCCTTACCTTTGCTATCAGTCTCAGTGTGGAACCTTGTCAAAAGCCTTACCAAATTCCAAGTAGACAACATCAAGAGCATTGCCATCATCTGCACACTTGGCACCTTTTTGGAAAATTCAGTTAAGTTTGTCAGACATGACCTCCCCCTAATAAAACCATGCTGACTGTTCTGGATGAAGCCCTGCCTCCCCAAGTCCAGATTAACTCTGTCCCTCAGAATTGCTTCCAATAGTTGCCCCACTAGATTGACTGGCTTGTAGTTTCCTGGTTTATCCCTTGCTCTCGTCTTGAATAATGGTACAACGTTGGCTGTCCTCCAGTCATCTGCTGTGGCCAGAGAGGAATTGAAAATTTCCTCTCTTGCTTCACTCAACAACTTTGGATATATTTCATCCAGCCCTAGAGATTTATCTACTTTGACGCCTATCAAACCACTCAATCTCCTCACTGCGCATGCTAATTTTGTTAATTGTATCACAGACCTTCTCCGTGATTTCTGTACTGATATCATCCCTCTCGCACGAACATACAGTATTCATTTAGAACCCTACCTACACCATCTGACTCCACGGACAAATTACACCCGGTTACCAAGATTACACAGATAGGGAAGTGTTTAGGATAGGAGGAGCTGACAGGTTTCGAGAGAGATGAGTCTGTGCAGTGCTTCAATAACCAGAATGAGGTTTCTGTAACCAGGAGACATTGTACGTGAACAGAGAGAATTCAATTGGTAAGCAAGTCCGGTTAGAAATTTGGGCATGGATGGCAGAATTTAGGTGGCTGTATTTACTGATTCGTGGATCATGGGGAGGCTGGTCAGTGGTGTGTTCATTGAAGCAATCAAGCAAATCATGCGACAGACACACAAGCTTATAAAGGTGAGTCAGTCCAGCAAATAAACGCAGCATCCTAGCTGGAATATGATGACTAGACACAATACTGCTCTCCCTGCCCCGTCATTCCACACTTCTCCCCACATGCCTCCTCCCCAAAAAGCCACATAACCTCTGTTCACGCCATTGATCAGGTAATTGAGTAAGTGCAGGAAAGTATTCAGACTCCACGCTGAGAGGGTAGCTTTCTTACCTGAGTCAGAAGGTCATCAGCTCAAGTTCCACTTCAGAGACCTTAGCTGCAAAATGGGGAGAGAATGTCTGAGCCTATATTTATTCCTCAATTAACATTGGCAAATGAAACAGGTTATGTGGTTCATTCTCACATTGCTGGATTTTGGATCTTGCTGTGCATGGTTTCACTGCCCGTGAGAACAGTGACTATAAGTCAGAGGAACGTTACTGGCTGCAAACCTACTTTAGGATGTGCTGAAGTTGTGGGAGGCATTCGAGAAATGTGCTTTTTGCTTTTTTATTTGTTTAATGTGATGTGAACTCTGATCCAATCATGGATTGGTCCTGCTGCACCTCAGAAGTGCGCAGAACATGAGCAGCTGCCACAGCGGAGACTCTCTATTCTCTCAAAGGCATTGCATTCCCCATTTTATATTGTGGCATCCCATTCCTCCTGCAACATTGCTGAAAAAGGCAGGTTTTGTTGAAGATTTTTTGTTTTTCTCTTATCAGGACACTTCATAAGAATCTCAAACTAAAAGAACAACATTTACTTCGTGTGAGTTGAGAGTTCACTATAGATGTTGTTTTCTTTCTTTCTGCAATTTTGAATTGTCTTGATGAGTGCAAGATGAAAAGCTTTGAGAAGATTTATTTTTTTCACCAATACGCAAGTTCTGTGCTATCTATCTATCCCTAATATTCCTCCCTCTTTCCATCCACCACTCCACCTTTTGCGTTACGAATGTCTAATTGCTTCGAATCTGATCTGGTGTTGCCATGGGGTCAAGAGATGATGTTGGGAGACATGGGATCACAGGTTGGGGTTGAGAGACAAGGGTGTCAGGAAAAGATGTCAGGAGGTGTGGGGTCAGGGCTGATGTTGAGAGGCGTGGGGTCAGGACAACGTCGGGAGACTACGGTGAGGGTTTGCCATCATCACAAAATGTGAACTTGGGACAACGTGAAGAGGTGTGAGGTAAAGGGCCTTGGCAGTGTGAGGTCAGAGGTTAGCATGCCTCCACTATAACAGGAACTAGGCTGCAAAGCTCCTAGATAACAAGGTGTGGAGCTGGATGAACACAGCAGGCCAAGCAGCATCAGAGGAGCAGGAAGGCTGACGTTTTGGGCCTTCTTCAGAAATGCGGGAGGGGAATGGGGTTCTGAAATAAATAGGGAGAGAGGGGGAGGCGGATAGAAGATGGATAGAGGAGAAGATAGGTAGAGAGGAGATAGACAGGTCAAAGAGGTGGTGATGGAGCCAGTAAAGGTGAGTGTAGGTGGGGAGTTAGGGAGGAGATAGGTCAGTCCAGGGAGGACAGACAGGTCAAGGAGGCGGGATGAGGTTAGTAGGTAGGAGATGGGGGTGGGGCTTGAGGTGGGAGGAGGGGGTAGGTGGGAGGAAAGACAGGTTAGGGAGGCGGGGACAAGCTCCTAGATAGGTTGTGAAGCCCCTTGAAACATCCTCGGACCTTGAAAGGTGCTATGGAAATGCAAGTCTTTCTGCTATGAAAGATCATTGTCGTGTCCTCTGTCAGAATTTAGAATTTTGACCTGGTAAGGGAAGGCACATATTCAGTTGAAAAAGAGGAATCTTGATTTTTATCAAAGGTTTTAAGTTCCTGCAATCATTCAGGGACAAGTGAAAGATTCTGATGCAGTTTCCTCGGAACTATGGCTCACACTAGAATCGAGGTCCACTGATTCCTTGAATAAGAGACTTTTCTTGCCAGGAGAGACTGAATAGAGTAGAATATGCTGATGTTCTCAGGGGCTCGACCGTTTTGAACTGAGATGTGGAAAAGGTTTGTTCACCAAGAGGGCCTCCATTTTTTGGAATTATCTACCCAGAAGACATTGTTGAGAATATTGGCACTCATCAATTGATTTTTGGGCACAGACGGAATCGAGGGGTATATAGATCAGGCATGAAGGTGGAGTTGAGGTGACTGATCTTATAGGAGGAGCAGGCTTGAAGGGTTAAAATGCCTTCTCCTGCTTCTATTTGTGATGTTCTCAGCTAGAGATTTTTTAAAACTATTTTCAACAGCTGGCTTGTTGATTTGCTTTTCAGAGCATTGAGGGAAGGAGAGATGTTTGAAATATTGATTCAGAAAATGGTAGACCGGTGGTCTGGATCCATCGAGGCAGGTGAGTAACAAGATAGGTGGTTTTCCTTAGAGAATATAGAGAGAGGTGAACTGAGGCTCACACCGGAAGGGGGCTGTATTGGCCCAGGGTGGCGACTAAGGTTTGTGAACCCCTACCGTCCATTCCCTGCTGTAAAGACTCTACCCATGGACAGTGACTGAGCCTGCGACTGGCTCAGGAAGCAATGAGGCCACTGGTCAAGTAACAATTTGTAGCCACCATGCTGCTTTTCACAGAGGCCTGTGTTGGGGTCGTTCAAAAAGTTTCTGGCCTTGATGCCCAGCAGTTGGCACCTCAAGATCAGATCCAGCTCTGCGGGCAACTCTGAAGTCCAGGAGCTTAGCTATCAATTCCACATGGCTACCCAAAATTCCAGCCTGTATTTGACATCACCCAAGTGCTGCAGCTTTGGGTTTCGTCAACCAGTGAGCTTCGTTCTGAATCATCTCACGGAGAACCACCTCCCAAGTACACGATCTAAAGCGTCATTTATGTCAACTTCCCCAGTTCATCTGCGGAATCTAATCCTCTGGATCCAGTTGCAGGGCCAGTGAGCTTCACAGTGGCCCATGTGTTTCCCAAGTTGAGATGCATTTGAAAAACAATGCATTGCAGAAGCTGGCAATCTGAAATAAAAACAGAAAATGCAGGAAGCACTCTGTGGGTCAGGCAGAGAAATAATTGCTGTTTGAGACATTGCATCAGAACTGGAAAGAATTTTAACCAAGTTCAGAGGTATTGAAAGCTATGACAAGGGGTGATGTCAGGTCCTGGGTAATGTGGTACTCCTGACATTTACACTTCGTTCAAACCTTTGGGGTGAAGGTATGATGTAATGGTAATGTTACAAGGCTAGCCATCTAGAGGCTCAGATTCAAATTCAGTCTCGAGGGACACAGGTTCAAATTCCATCACGGCAGCTGGTGGAATTTGAGTTCCGCCAATAAATCTGGAAAATAAAGTGAGTCTCAATAGTGGTGACCAGAACTCTATCATGGATTGTTTACCAATCACAGAAATGTTATGCTGAAGCAGGAGTGTTATGGCCCAGACCAAAGGTCCTCAAAATATATTAAGAAGATAGCCTAGACCCTAGCGCTTTCTTATTTTTAAAAGGCAAGTGAAAGGCGTTGTGTTCTGGATGCCGTTCAATTGGCCAAATTACTGGGCTTGAAGCAAAACACGCTTTATTGATACACTGTAGTTAAAATACAAACAAAAGAAGGAAGAATTGGAATAACTTGACTCTATTGGAAAACTTAACAGAATAATAGATTATTTAACTACTAAACAGCAACTGTTCCAATACACTGACATCCCATAAACATTCCCTCGGCAAAGGCAAATTCAGTAAAATAGAACATAGAACAGTACAGCACAGTACAGGCCCTTCGGCCCACAATGTTGTGCCGAACTTTTACCCTAAACCTAAGGTCTATCTAACCTCCACCCCTACCTTATACTATCATCCATATGCCAATTTAATAGCCACTTAAATGCCCCTAATGAGGCCGACTCCACTACCCTCTCCGGTAATGTATTCCACATCCCTACCACTCTCTGAGTAAAGAACCTACCTCTGACATCTCCCCTATATCTACCTCCACTCACTTTAATACTATGCCCCCTCGTAATAGCTACCTCTACCCTCGGAAAAAGTCTCTGGCTGTCTACTCTATCTATACCTCTGATCATGTTGTACACCTCTATCAAGTCAGCTCTCATCCTTCGTCGTTCTAAAGAGAAAAGCCCTAGCTCTCTCAACCTTTCCTCATAAGACGTTTCCCCCCCATTCCAGGCAACATCCTGGTAAATCTCCTCTGCACCTTTACCAATGCTTCCACATCTTTCCTGTAATGAGGCAACCAGAACTGGACACAATACTCCAGATATGGCTGAACCAGGCTTTTGTATAGCTGGAGCATAACTTCATGGCTCTTGAACTCAATCCCTCTATTAATGAAAGCTAACACACCATATGCCTTCTTAACAACTCTATCCACCTGGGTGGCAGCTTTCAGGGAACTGTGGACGTGAACCCCAAGATCCCTCTGCTCCTCCACACTGCCAAGAATCTTTCCGTTAACCCTGTATTCTGCTTTGAAGTTTGTCCTTCCAAAATGAATCACCTCACACTTTTCAGGGTTAAACTCCATCTGGCACTTCTCAGCCCAGCTCTGCATCCTATCAATGTCCCTTTGTAACCTAGAACAGCCCTCCGCACTATCTACTACTCGACCCACCGTCGTATCATCCGCGAACTTACTAATCCCACCCTTCCATTCCTACATCCAAATCGTTTACAAAAATCACAAATAGAAGAGGACCCAGAACAGATCCTTGTGGTACACCACTCGTAACTGAGCACCATGTTGAATATTTTCCATCCACTACCACCCTTTGTCTTCTAAGGGTCAGCCAATTCTGAATCCAATCTGCCACATTTCCCCCTATCCCATATCTCCTTACTTTCTGCATGAGTCTACCATGGGGAACCTTATCAAATGCCTTATTTAAATCCATGTATACCACATCCACTGCTCTACCTTCATCCACGTGTTTGGTCACCTCTTCAAAGAATTGAATAAGGTTTGTGAGGCATGATCTACCCCTCACAAATCCATGCTGACTATCACGAATCAAACTGTTCCTATCCAAGCGATCATAAATCCTATCTCTCAGAGCCCATTCTAATAATTTGCCCACCACTGAAGTAAGACTAACTGGCCTGTAATTTCCAGGGTTATACCTACTCCTTTTTTTTGAACAAGGGAATGACGTTTGCCACTCTGTCCAGTCTTCCGGCACTATACCCGTGGACAGTGAGGACAAAAAGATCATCGCCAAAGGCCTTGCGATCTCTTCTCTCGCTTCCCATAGAATCCTTGGATAAATTCCATTAGGCCCGGGGAACTTATCTATCTTCAAGTTCCTCAAAATTCCTAGTACATCTTCCTTACTAACATCCACCCCCTCTAGCCTACCAGCCTGTTTCACACTGTCCTCCCCGACAACTAGGTCCCTCTCAGTTGTGAATACTGAAGAAAAGCATTCATTAAGGACCTCTCCTATCTCTTTGGGCTCCATGCACAAATTCCCTTTACAATCTTTGATCGGCCCTACCCTTTCCCTGGTTGTTCTCTTATTCCCCACATACGTGTAAAAAGCCTTGGAGTTTTCCTTGATCCTATCTGCCAAGGTTTTCTCATGCAGTTAGGATCATGGTAAACCCCAAGGTTGTATAGATTGTATCACATGCAATTCTTCAGTTCCAGGAGGACAGAACATCAAGACAAAACTCTCTGTGTGAGAGAGAGAGAGAGGGGACTCAATGGTTTTGCTGTAGCAGGGAGAGATGTATAGCAGCTTCCAAACCCCAATAGCCACTGAAAGCTAAACTAAAACCCTGGTTCTATGGGAGCCTGACTCCACCCATTCATTCTGCTTCTATTGTTCCAACTTTAAAATAAAACCCAGAAGCCGTCTACTTTATTGCTGGGAACAGACCACTCAACACCTCTGTTGCAACCTCTCTTCATTTTAAAAAAAAAATCAGGACAAAATACACCTCTTAAAGCCATAGCATCATTACAGGAGGCATCGTATCTACACTGGCTCTCTGGGTATTTTAACTTAGTGCCAATCTCCTCCTTTTCCCCTTTAATCTTGTACACTGTTTTTATTTAAATAAGAATCCAATGCCTTCTTGAAGGCCTCAATTAAACCTGCTAACACCGCACTTTTAGCAATGTACACTGACTTAACCACTCGCTGTATAAGGGCGTTTTTTTCTCAATCACATTTGCTTCTTTTGCAAACACTTTGAGACCGTGCCCTCTGTTTCTTGGTCCTTTTACATCTCTGTATCCAATCTGTCAAGAACAGTCGTGATTTTGAAATCTTCAGTCAAATCTCCTCTTAGCCATCTCCTCTCCAATGAAAGCATCTCGACTTCACCAATCTTTATTCATAACTGAAGTGTCTCATTCCTGGATTTTTTCTTATTCATTCACGGAATGAGAGAATTCACTGGCCAGGCAGCATTTATTGCCCATCCCTAATTGCCCACAGGGCAGTTGAGAGTCACCACATTGCTGTGGGTCTGGAATCACATGTAGGTCAGACCAGGTAAGGATGGCAGTTTCCTTCCCTAAAGGGCATTACTGACCAGATGGGTTTTTCCGACAATGGATTCATGGTCATCATTAGATTCTTAATTCCAGATATTTATTGAATTCAAATTCCACCATCTGCCGTGGCGGGATTGGAACCTGGGCCTCCAGAACGTCATCTGGGTCTCTGGATTACCAGTCTAGTGATAGTACCACTAGGCCATTGCCTCCCCCATTCCTGTGAAACCTCTTCTACACTCTCTCCAATATGTTCACATCAACGTTCCTATTCATTTTTCTGCCTCACGGCAGACCCATTAATCTGTGCATGGCAGTGACTTCCAGAGCCAGAAGCCAATGCCATAAACAGTGTTGGCACACCAGTTGCCATGCCACAGACGCTTGAAGCAACTGCAGATAGAGAGAAGATTGATTTACGTCCAAATTGGTTTTGAGTGGCACCCAGAACTGTGTGCAAAGTATTACAACTGAGTTGTTAAAAACTCATTCAAGTCACAATTGTCCTCTTGGAAAGGAAATATGACTCTTTACCCATTCTGACCTACATAGGACTCCAGACCCATGGTAATGAGGTTGACTCTCAACTGCTGTATGAAATGGTTGAGCAAGCTATTCAGTTCAAAGGCAGTAAGGAATGGACAGCAAATGCTGACCTTGCCTGCAACACTCTACATTCCATGAAAGAGTAAAGAAAAGAATTTGTTATGGCTCCCAACCTTTTTCATCTTCTGGTGAAATGTAAATAGATATTGCCTGACCTGCTGGGTATTTGCAGGATTACCTGTTTTTATTCTAGACCAATTAGGTGTGAATGCATCCGTCACAGTTACTGATGGACTGTGTAGCTAAATGATGTGGATGACTACATGACTATTTTAGACAGCCTTGCATTACTGTGCATGTTTCTATATAGTGTGTGAATCTAGAAATGCTATGTTGGGGAGTCTGAGGGATGTTTCTGACAGTGTCCTAGATATGCACACATCTGCATTAATAACATAGCCTGTGCTTATGTTGTAAGTTCCTGGTGTTGGATGCTGTTTGTATATATTCTGTTTGAACAAGCTGTTTTAAGTCCATTGGTTGTGCTGTATTCATTCTGGTGTGTATTTTTCCCATATTGTCCACTTTAATCACATTTTTCCTGTCATAGTTAATATTGAGACTCCCCCTTATTTAGGAGTTACAGCAATCCGTCCGGAGGACCTCGAATTTCCCAGCACTATGACGGATATAGACTATGACACTTGGATGTTGAGGTAATGCCAAAATTGGAATGCTCTGTTTAGTGGGGTTTGTGGTAGAAAGGGTGGTGAATTTATTCTGTGTTGAATCTGGCATTTATCTTGGTTCACTTTTCCTTGTCCAGGGAGGCTTCCACTTTTGAGCTGTGACCAGGAATGTCACTGACACTGGTCAAGCCGTGGTTTGAGCTGCGACTAGCTCAGAGTGTTGGTAGATGGCTGTAGAGCCCACAGGCTGGAGTTTGAGAGGCTCATGATACTCTTTGTAATGATACTCTCTGCTCCGACACCTGCAGGAAAAAGTCAGGCGGGCCATTGATCATAAGACACTAAGACTTGGGAGCAGAAATTAGGCCATTCAGCCCATCGAGTCTGCTCAGCCATTCAATCATGGCTGATAAGTTTCTCAACCCTATTCTCCTGCTTTCTCCCCGTAACCCTTGATCCCCTTGACAATCAAGAACCTATCTATCTCTGTCTTAAATATACCAATGACTTGGCCTCCACAGCCTTTTTGGCAGTGAATTCCATAGATTCACTACTCTCTGGCTGAAGATGTTTCTCCTTATCTCCGTTCTAAAAGGTCTTCCTTTTACTCTAAGGCTGCGCCCTCGGATCCTAGTTCTCCTACCAATGGAAACATCTTCCCAACATCCACTCTGTCCAGGCCATTCAGTATTCTGATCAGAGGAGAATAAAGCCTTTGTGGGCATTTTGTGGCAATTTATGTAATATTGGAACCATTTCAGGCACGGAGAGGAACTGGGTCTTTAGCTGTCAATCAGAATCAAGGTGGGGAGAGTTGAATAGGGGTGATGAAGAGAGCATGGAACCTAGTGTCAGTGCGTGTCTAATTCAACAGCAACACAAAATAGCTGGAAAAGCAACTAAGGCAGAGCAAGTTCAACCATGTGTTATCTCAAGGGAGTAAGGAGAGGCTGGATGGCCTCTACTTTAATGTCAGGAATATTAGAAGTAAGACTGATAAATTAAGGGTATGGATTAACACATGGAACTGTGATTTTGTTCCTATCGCAGTGATGTGGTTGAGAGAGGGACAACTTAATGATCTGGGATATAGAATCTTCAGGCAATACAGGGACGGGTGCAAAAGTGGAATTGGTGTCACATCATTAGATAGGAAGTCAGTTACTGCAGTAAGGAAAGAGGATATCTTGGAAGAATTGCCATGAGACTTTGTGGATAGAATTTAGGAATAAGAAGGGGGCAGTCACACTTAGAAGTGAATTATAGGCCCCCAAACAATCAGCAGGCAATTGAGGGGCAGATATGTAGTCAATTCACTAGGGTGTGTACAAACAATAATACAGTAATTATATAAGGGGATTTTGACTACTCCAATATTAATTGGGATAATCATACCATAAAGAGTTTAGAGGGAGCAGTTTTCTGGCCAAAGTAGACTGAGAACGGCTACTTCAGGGTAAATCTACAGCAGAACAGTAACAGGCATTCAGAAAGTTACTGGGGGCGGAGTACAGGTCCAACATGTTCCCTTTAGGGTGAAAAGGACGAGCAGCAAATGCAGAGAATCACTGATATCTAGGAAGAGGAAGTGTTGGCGGTCTTAGAAAATATAAAGGTGAATAAACCTCTGGGACCTGATCTAGTGTATCCCAGGGAAGCTAGGAAGGAAATTGCAGGGCCCTTTGCAGAAATATTTTCATCATCTATAAATACGGGTGAGGTGCTTAATGACTGGAGAGTGGCTAGGTTGTGCCTTTGTTTAAGGAGAAGCCTGGGAACTATTGATCTGTGAGTCTGACTTTGGAGGTGGGTAAGTTATTGGAAGTGATTTTGAAAGATAGGATTTATATGTATTTGGAGAGGAAAGGAATGATTAGGGATAGTCAGCATGGTTTTGCGCAAGGCAAATTGTGTCTCTTGAACTTGATTGAGTTTTTTGAGAGCGTAACCAAGAAAATTGAGGGCAGGGTGGTAGACGTTGTTTACTTGGACTTTAGTAAAGCCTTTGACTAGGATCCACATGGTCAGCTGATTAGTACAGTTAGATCGCATGGGATTCAGAGCGAGCTTCCCAATTCGATACAAAATTGGCTCAACAGCAGGAGATGTTAAACATTGTAACTGCACCCGCTCTGGATGTTCATGAACCACTTTCTTTTAAAAAAAAAAAAACGCTTTCTCCTCTCACCTTAAAAATATGCCCCTAGTCTTGAAATCCCCCACCGTAGGGAACGACACTTGCCATTCACCTTATCTACACCCCTCATGATTAACCATTGAGTGATGGTGGAGTGTTGTTTTTCAATGATGGAGGCCTGTGACTTGCGACGATCCACAGGGATCGGAGCTGGACCCACTTTTGTTTGTCATATATATAAATGATTTAGATGTGAATATAGAAAGCATAGTTCCTACGTTTGTGGATGACACCAAGTTTGGTACTATAATGGACAGTGAAGAAAGTTATCTAAGATTGCAAAAAGATCTTGATCAAATGGGTCAATGGGGTGAAGAGTGGCAAATGGAGTTTAATTTGGATAAATGCGAGGTATTGCATTATGGTAAAATAAACACAAAGGCAAGACTTGTATAATTAAAAGTAGGGCCTTGGGTAATGTTCTAGAACCAAAACACCTCAGCATTCAGGTACATAAATCTTTGAAGTTTGCATTACACATCAATAGGGTGGTTAAGAAGGTGTTTAGCATGCTTGCCTTCATTGCTGACACCTTTGAGTATAGGAGTTGGGACATTATGTTAAGGTTGTACAGGACCTTGGTGAGGCCTCTTCTAGAGTATAGTGTTCAGTTTTGGTCTCCCTTTTATAAGAAGGATATTATTAAGCTCAAGGGCTTCAGAAGAGATTTACCAAAATGTTGGGAATGGAGTGTTTGGGTTATAAGGAGAGGCCGGATAGAGCATGGGAGGCCGAGAAATGACCTTATCAAGGTTTATAAAATCATGAGGGGTGTAGATAAGGTGAATGGCAAGTGTCGTTCCCTAGGGTGGGGGATTTCAAGACTAGGGGGCATATTTTTAAGGTGAGAGGAGAAAGCGTTTTTTTTAGAGTGGTTCATGAACATCCAGAGCGGGTGCAGTTACAATGTTTAAAAAATATTTAGATAAGTATATGAATAAGAAATGTTTGGAGGGGTATGAGCCAAGTGTAGGCAGGTGGGACTAGTTTAATTTGGAATTATGGTCGGCGTGGACCAGTTGGATTGAAGGGTCTGTTTCCATGCTGTATGACTCCATGATTCTATGAATATACAGGACTGGATAAAAGGGAGAAGAGGGATGTGTTACAGGCAGAAAGGGAGAAAAATAATGGAAGCCCTAGAGGAGTATAGAAAGTATGGGAGGAGCTCAGGAAAGCAATGATAACGCTGGCAGGCAAGATTAGGGAGAATCCCAAGATATTCCACAAGTATGTCAAAGAAGGGAATAACCAGGAAAGGACTAGGACCTATTAGGACCAAGGGGACAATCTGAGTGTGAAGCTGGAGGATGTTTGGTAGAGTGTTAAATGATTACTTCACACCAGTCCTTAATCAGGAGTAGGAGGATCCAAGTACAGAATTCAAGAATGTAGTTTCTTCAGTAGTTCTTGAGCATATTAATGTGAGAAGCAAGGAGGTATTTGAGGGTTTGGCAAATTTAAAAATAAACAGATCCCCAGGTCTGGATGAGTTGTATCCCAGGCTGCTGTGGGATATGAGGGAAGAAATTACAGAGGCCCCTGACCCAAATCTTCTGATCAAATCAAGGGAAGTGCCTGAGGACTGGAGGATAGCTAATGTGGTTCCATTTTACAAGAAGAGTGGTAGACATAGACCAGTGAGCTATAAACCAGTGGCTTTAACATCAATGTTAGGGAAACTATTGGAGATAATAGTGAAAGATAAAATTAATCTCCATTTAGAGAAGCAAGATTTGATCAGGCGAAAAAAAATGTAAGAACTGCTGATGCTGGAAATCTGAAACCAAAACAAAAATTGCTGGAAAATTGCAGCAGGTCTGACAGCATCTGTGGAGAGAAATCAGAGTCAACATTTTGGTCCAGTGGTCCTTTGTCCCTTTGTCAGAATAGAAAGTTTGATCTGGGATAGTCAGCATGGCTTTGTCAGAGGGCAGTCATGCCAAACAAATCCAGTGGAATTTTTCGAGAAAATGACGAAGAGTTTAGATGAGGGTGGGGTAGTTGATATAGTTTGTATGGATATGTATGACACGCTTTGGAAGAAGGAACAAGGGAGAACTCAATGAATAGGAAGACACCAGGAAGCTCAGAGGAATCTTTGGGTGCTTGTCCACAGATCCCTGAAAGTGGCAGGACAGGTTAATAAGGTAGCTAAGAAGGTATACAGGACGTTCGCCTTTATCAGCTGTAGCATAAGAACAGGGAGTTCATGTTGGAACTATGTAGCACTTCAGTTAAGCCACAACTATGTGCAGTTCTGGTCTCCACACCACACTATGAGAAGCGTATGATTGGGAGGAGATACAGAAGAGGTTTAACAGGATGTTGCCTGAGATGGAGCTCTTTATTGACAAAGAGAGGCTGGATCAGCTTGGGTTGTTTTCTTTAGAACAGACGTGGTTGAAGGGGGGGACCTGATAGGGGTCTATAAGATTATGAGGGCCATAGACAGGGTAACTAGAATGCAGCTGTTCCCCTTAGTCAAGGGGTTAATAACAAGGGAATGCACCTTCGAAGTGAAAGGCAGGGAGTTTAGTGGGGAGTTGAGGAAAATATTTTCACCCAAGAGGGTTGTGGTGGTGGTATGGAATGCACTGCCTGGGAAGGTAGTTGAAGTGGGAAACCTCACAATCTTTAAAATTGTGGATGAGCACTTCAGTTTGTTTAGATTAGGTAGGTTTATAGGGGTTTGGGTCAGGGTGGGATGCTCTGAGGTTCGATGTGGACTTGTTAGACCAAAGGGCCTGTTTCCACACTGTAGGGATTCTATAAAAAAATTCAAGGCTATGGGCCTTATGGGAGAAAGTGAGACTAGTGCAGGTAGTAGTATATTTTTGGCGGCACAGGCTCGATGGGCCAAAGGGCTTCTTTGGTATTGTATGATTCTATGAATGAATCACCTAGCCAGTGGACCTTACTGGTCCGGTGGCCTCTCATTCCAGGCTGCCTTCCAGTAAGTTGAAAGGCCTGGGCGAAAGGAGGTGGAAGCCCAAACTAAGAAGGAAGTGCTTTAATGCTATAATTTTGCTGACTTTACTCTGTATCCAACAGTAACAGTATGCACCTTAAAAGTAGTAAATTGTTTGAGGTGCTTGAACAGAGCATCACCTAGCAGAACTCTCAACAAGTACACCGTAGAGACAGGTCAGTAACTCAGGCAGAGATGGAGATTCATAGAAACATCTGAAAGCAGGGGAGAGAGAAATTGTGAGTGAGAGAGAGACCACCTGTTGTGGACCAGTACAAATCTGGAGATACTCGAATTACAGGAGCACAGAGATCTTGGAGGATTGTAGTAGCTGGAAGAGATTACAGAGATGGACAAACTTGTAGTGCCTGGAGGAGTTTACAAAGATGGGGAGAGGTGTAGGGGCTGGAGGAGGTTAGAGATAGGGAGGGACATCAGAGATAAATCAGGTTATAGAGACAGGGAGAGCTATAGTGCGTAGAGAAGCTTATAGAGATGGAGAGAGATGTAGAGGCTGGAGGAGGTTACAGATAGGAAGGGACATCAAAGCTAGATCAGGTTATAGAGATAGGAAGAGGTGTAGATTACAGAGATGGGGGGATTTTGGGAATTAGTGTAGATTTTAGATAAGGAGGGTGAGATCACCAATCAATTTTGAAAACACTGATGAGAATTCAACATTTTGATGTTGTCAGCCTGGGAACTATTTGAGGTTCATTAGCGCAGAAGGCCATTTGGTCTCTCGAGCCTGTGCCCACGTTTTTAGATCCTGACTGACCCTACTTTGAGCCCTGTTGCCTCTGAGGGTGTGCACATGTTTTTCTTGACCAATCACGAGAGGAGTTTACCCCAGTCTTTAGTGATGGTCAGTTCCCTGGGGCCTTGCTGCATTGGTGTGCATGGGTGTCTATCATTGCCTGCCATGAGTGGTTACGGTTCTAAACATCTTTCTGATGATCTTGACCTATCATCCCGACCCCGCTTTCAGTGGCACAGCTATTATGCAAGACGGGAACACGATGCGCAACAATTATGGCTGCGATCTGGACTCATTAACCACTGGCTCGCGAATTGGGATGATGCGCAGCTCGAATGGCGACCTCCATTACTTCATCAATGGGGTGGATCAGGGAGTGGCGTGCTCAGGCCTACCGCCAGGTAAATTATCACCGTGAAGTAGATGTGCTTGGTGTCCAACCCTGGTGGAGGGAGGATCCATCAGCAAACGTTAATTTACTAGCCAGTTTTCACCAATACCTGGCATATGGAGACAGCAATCTGTTGCTCAGTTTGACTGCTTTCTCTAAATAGGGATAGCACTTCTTCTCCTCTTTCGTGCTCTCTCTTACGTTCTCTCATGATGCTGTCTCTTGCTGTCATTCCATTGCTATCTAGTCCTCAGGCCCTTCTTCCCTTGCTTTTGCACTCTCTAATGCTGAATTATTCTACTTCACTTCCACTCACATTCCCTCAACCTTGTTCCTTCAGTTTTTTACAGTGTCATACTGTCTTGCTGTCTTTCATTCTTGGTCTTGTTCCCTCGTTCCTTCACACTTGTTCCCTCACTAATATGGCCTCTTGCGCTATCTTGTTCTCTTTCCCCCTCTCCTTCATTTTTTAAAATATTCGTCCATGGATGTGGGCGCTGCTGGCTGGGCCAGCATTTGATGCCCATCCCCAATTGCCCTACAGAAAGTGGTGGCGAGCTGCCTTCTTGATCTGCTATGTTGTTAATATGATGCAAAATACTGTTAGGGAGGGAGTTCCAGAATTTTGATCCAGCAGCAATGAAGAAACAGCAATATTTTTCCAAGCCAGGGTAGTGAGTGGCTCAGAGAGGAATTTGAAAGATTCTATATTTCATCTTTCACACTCTATCTCTTTCCATCACTTGCTTTTCCTTCTAGGCCAAATGCTTGTTAGTTTAACCCCTATTATCAGGGTTCGGGCTATTATTCCCAGACTGACACTGCCCAGTTGTGAAGGCAGTACCTTTGAGAAGAGGTGTTTAAAACTTAGGACCCCTGCACAGAACCCCTCTCTACTTTTCACTGGAGAGAAGAGCTTCAGTCCCCCATGATGCTCAGCTTTGAATCAACACTCCAATTGGCTACTGCATGAAATGGTGCATAAGCCCTTTGAGAAAGGAATCACTTTGAGGTCAACAGTCAGGAGCCAGGGAGAAATTGCCTCAGTTTGTGTCCAGTCCAGGGGCACAGAAGCCTTGCAGTCTGTTAACTCAGCAGAAGCTGGTGTTGTCAGAAGGTCTTGCCCTTGTCTCTGAAACTGCATGTCTCCCAATTGGCATGATTCAAGATGAAGAGCGAAAGAAATGCCTGAGAGCAAAGGGAGGCGCATTCACCAATGAGCTAACAGTGCAAGTGTCATCCTTTTAAACTGTGGGATGACAGGTGAAGTCTTGAGTGACATTGTAGAAATACCTGTCGTCAAGCTGTTCAAAGGGGTTGGCTGTGGGAATCCATAGGGTCTAAGAAGAGTGATCTCTGCCTCCATCATATTCCTCAGCAAGGAAAGGACCATGATCAAAACGCTTAGTGCACAATTGCAGCTCCTCTTACCTCAGTTAGATTTTCATGTTCGGTTACATCTCAGAGACAGGGCTACCTAATATGAGTTTGCTTCTTGTTCTTCACTTCACCCCTACAGTCCCCCTCAGTTTCTGATGGAGAGTAACAAGAGGTGTTTGTTTTAATTGAAGTTCAGCGAGTGTACTGCAGCTGCTATTTACTGTCCTCTTTCCTCTGCCTGCAGAGCTTTATGCTGTGGTTGATCTGTATGGACAGTGCGTCCAAGTATCTATTACCAGCGGCTCACCACCTGTGGACAACAGCCTGTCACTGAGCAATGCCACAGAGAAGTCCTTCCCAATACATTCCCCAGGTATGCATATAACGTCTGCCATTCGTGTTCCTCTGCCATCACCAGCAACACCTGCTCTGTCACGCAGCACTGCCAATAGTCTGTTGTTCAGTAGAAAGCCTGGGTTTGAGATGCTGCTGCAAATCTTAGAGATCTTTTCTCCAACCCCAGCCATCTTAGCCCCATCCCTTCCACTGCAATTTACTTAACCAGATAAGAATACATTGGCCACCAGGGTCTTAAGTTCCTTGTTGCAATAGCTGTTTACTACTAGTTGGGGAAAGGGTTTAATGACACCACATTTTTGCTTCCCTATCCTTGGGTCTAAGGATCCGGGAGAGGGAGAAAGCTTGGCCCTCCTGCCTGTTGCCCCCACCAGCTCCACCCAAGTGGCAGAGAGGCAGTGTTATGTTTCAATGCAATGCTTTCTGCAACTCAGATAACCTGACAAAGATCCACCTTCCACCTTTTGCCCGTGAAAGATGGCTGTTTGGTCAAGGTACCTGAACAGCAGTGGTTGCTTGGGATTGGAGCTGGAAGAGATGGAGGAGTGGGGAATCTGCCATGTTCGAATGTAAGATGAGATAGCAGTTAGGCAGTGTCACCCCCATCATTGATTGGGAGTCCGTTACCCTGGGGAGTTACTGAGACACTGCAGTGGCTGAAAGATGGCATTAGAGTATTAAAAAATGAAATGTTCAGTTGATGGGCTTTAAGACAGAGTAGTGTAGAGGTTTGAGTCTCTGTGCACTCCCCTCCCATGATTGTTGTATCAACATGAATGCCCATAAAGTTTTAATCACTACCTTAATTCACCCTTCCCGAGGAACGCACATTGCTAGAAGTTCCTCCAGACTGTTCATTTGTCTTGGTGTTCATAGAAAGTGGGTCAAGACTAGGTAAATTCATGCGCATATTGTCCTGTAAACATGAGATGTGTAGGGGAGAGAGAGAGAGATGAAGCAAACACTCTGGCATGCGCCTGTGTGTTTTTTGTTTAAACCTGTGTAGCAGATGTGCACGAATTTGTAATAAATAAGGACATGAGAGTGTGCAAACTTCAAATTATCAGCTCCATCCCTCCTTCAAAGAGACAACAGTTGTACCATCCATGTGTGACCTGGATAATAACAAGTGTCTAGTTCAGACCCCTGAGGTAAGGTCCAGGCACGTCAAACACTGACATGTGTCCCTGCTGACCACAGCAGTACAGTTTCTCCAATGAACACGTCATGCCAAGAGTGCTGTTGCTTTAAAGGGGTTGCACAAGTGTGGGATTTAGGCAGGTGAGTGGCAAATGTGGTTGACGCTTCGAACTGACACACACTGTCACCTTTCAGTTCCAGGAATCGCGCACCGCTTCCATTCCAACTGCGGGAAGAACGTGGCATTGCAGAATGACGGGTGTCGAGCTGTTCGGATCCATGGCTTTTCCCATGGGGTTGTTCTAAGCATGAAGGAGTTGAGGTCTGATGAGCTCTTCGAGGTAACTCAAACAATAGTCTTCTTGCAGCTGACATGCCAAAGAGGCAATTAGAGTGATAGAAATCTACAGACAGAAAAAGGCACTTCAGCCCATCGTGTCCCTGTACCAGTCAAACACAGCCACCGCACTTGGCCCGTAGATTTGTATGCCCTGGCATCGCAAGTGCACATCTAAATACTTCAGTGTTATGAGGGTTTCTGCCTCTACCACTCTTGCAGGCAATGAGCTCCAGATTCCCAACACCCCGTGGATTAAAACCTTTTTCCTCACATCTATAGTCCTCCTGCCTCCTACTTGAAATCTATGCCGCTTTGTCATTGATCGTTCCATCAAGGGGAAAGGTTTCTTTCTATCTACCCTATCTACGACCTTCGTAATTCTATACATCTTAATCACATGCCCTCTCAATCCCCTCTGCTCCAATGAAAACAACCCCAGTCTTTCCAATCACTCTTAATAACTGATTAGATTAATACATTCAAAATCATCAACTATTTAGAGGGATGGATTAACAAAAACCACCTCCAATGGCTGACAGTTTGGTAACCAGAGGCCACAGATTAAATCTGATTGGCAAAAAGAACCAGAGGCAATATCAGCCAATAATTTTGACATTGCCAATGATTAGACTTTGAAATTCTCTGATTGAAAAGTTGAATTGGGTAAGTATTTAAAGGTGAAAAAACATGGTCATGCAATAGAAAAAGACAAAGGACGTGAGACTAACTGGATTGAACTCAATGGACTGATTGGTCTCCTTCCAAAAGTGGTGTTCAAAACAAGCAAGGAGTTTTGATACCGGAAATGTGTGTGGTAGTTGCTCAGATCAAGGGTGAGACTAGCTCACAGCAAGAATCTGTGCAATCGGCATAAAGGAAGAGTTTGCAGATTGACAGTGAACCACACAAAGTTGCACCTTCTATGACCATCAGGCCATGGAATGGGACTTCTTTTCATTTACTCGCAGGCCATGGGTGTTGCTATCTAGCTACTTGCTATAGTATTCTGAAACTCTTACCTGGTCTTGTAGCCACAGTATTTGTATGGTGAGTCCAGCAGAGCAGTGGTTAAGGTTATCTCTTTTTGGAGATAGTTATTGCCTGACATTTGTGTGGCACGAACATTCCTCATGATAGACTGGTTGGCAAGATTAGACCACATGAAATACGGCAGATCTAGCCATTTGGAGCATAACTGGCTCGAGAGAAGAAGACAGGGGGTGGTGATGGAGGAGGGTTGTTTTTCAGACTAGTGGCCTATGACCAGCAGTGTGCTTCAAGGATCAGTACTGGGTCCACTGCTTTTCGCCATTTATATAAACGGTTTGGATGTGAACACAGGAGGTATGGTTAGTAAGTTTACAGATGACACCAAAATTGGATGTGTAGTGGACAGTGAAGAATGTTACCTCAGAATACAACAGGATCTTGATCAGATGGGCCAATGGGCTGAGGAGTGGCAGATTGAGTTTAATTTAGATAAATGTGAGGTGCTGTATTTTGGAAAGGCAAACCAGGCAGGACTTATACAATTAATAGTAAGGTTCTGGGGAGTGTTACTGAACAAAGAGACTTTGGAGTGCATGTTCATAGTTCCTTGGAAGTGGAGTCCCAAGTAAACAGGATAGTGAAGGATGTGTTTTGGTATGCTTGTTTTTATTGGCCAGTGCATTGAGTATAGGAGTTGGGAGGTGATGTTGTGGCTGT